AGAAAGTTATACTTTCTGTGTTTACAAATTTTAGTGCAGACAAACCGAGGAAGTAATCGTTTCTTACAGTTTTCAGGTATCATCTGTTCTTTCAAAACATACAGAGGGACTTCATCTCGTTCGGTGACCTAAGGCACGAATCCACGATAGACATATTTCGTTATACTTCTCAGCGAAAGGGATTTGCGGAAATTATCACCCCTTTATCGATGAAAGTGTCAGATCAGTACTTAGTAAGCATCGGTTTGACATTTATTCAAGTATAAACTCGTCTTCAATAGGATACTGATAACCTGTAGCCATTCATATTCTCTATAGATGTTCTGATTGGCATGACTTTGTTCAACATTTATGCCTCAGAAATCAGTTTACTACTAAGGAAACGTTGAATATGCAGACGATACAGTTTTTTTTTCAATTGAAGATGTTGACGAAGTGCAGAGCTGTTTATACTCCCTGAGCAGTGGTTAGTCATGTGTGGTATTCGCTTCACCTTAGATGCACTATGATCCTATAAGACTGGTGTGGTTCGACTCCCAATATGTGAATAGGAAGTGAAGTCGAATATGTTGACCATTTCATTTGTTTAGGAAACCACATCGATCCTAGTAAACTGGTTATAGGTAAAAATAAGTGCTTAGCATTTATCGAATTGTGTGATCTTTGATACCAGATGAGTTACGTGGTTACAAATCAATAGTCGTGTGCACGGCTGTTTATTTTTTTCTCCTGCTTTAAGATCGTGAGATAAAGATGTCTCGGTTTAGTTGCTTAAGTTAGGTGTGTTGAGGTTAAATGTGTTAGGTAAAGAAGGCGATTCATTTGGCAACGTCCAGCTTTTTCCATCTAAGTAACTGGAGCATGTTTTATATATGCTTCCCGGCCGACAACTGCTACTTTGCCGTGGTGGTCGGGCTTGAATACCTCAGTGACCCAACAAGCTAAACTGACTGCGACTCATGTCCCTGCAAGTCCTACCATGTCAGGAAGGTTGTTTGGATGGCGGTTAGACTGAAAGCAGTTACCATGGGGTACATGGGCTCCAGAATCCAATCGGATCAAATGGCGTATGAACCCATATGGGTCACCGGAAACCATGGGAATGAAGCTCCTGACGCTGCTCCGCTGCCTTGATGAGGATTAGACTCCAAGTCAAAGGCTTGGGGGGTGTTGGTCCTTTGAGAAAGCTACCTGCCTTGGTCTGGCGCCCAGGCAGTATATCAGCCCTCACAACAAATGAAATAAAACAAACTATTATTGAAACTCTCCGCGTGCTCGTAAAAGTGAAATCAATGGTGAACGTGTTGCAATTTCCTTCTTTCTTCCATTCCTGATGATAGCTAACGAATACTGTTTGGACTTGTTAAGCATGACTGTTTTCCTTCCAGTTGAAGTTCTTTATCCGTTTTCCACTTATATTTTTACTTTTAATGTATGTTGTTTTATTGTTATTGTGTGGCGCATCTTTCTTGGTGCCATATTGTACCAAGTTTTTTCTGCGTTTTAATAATAAATAAAATAATAATTATGTGCTTATCTACCTTCTTCCTAAAAGGTCAATGTTGGCTGAAGTTGGATTAAGTTCCGAAATAGTCTGAAAAACAATAGAGTTGAATGGATAGGTAAAATCGCGAAGAGGGAATGCATCTGCGCCATTGGGAATGATTTTGATCCATATCACCAATAGTCTTCAGTCATTGGTCCTTAGAATCCCTGATCAGGAAGGTTACATCTCTTTACGTATCTCAAAGTAACTGTCGAAAATTTCATGAACTGACTCCAAGTTTTTGTTTGACTACCACTAGCTCTCTTCCAACCACCTGGTCCTATATCAGGTAACATTGCCCGTCAAGAAAGGCGATAGCTAGGCATGTGTTAGACATGTCTCAGCCATCTCAAATGACTTATCTTCACAACCTCATCGATTGACTTTCCTTCCTTACCTAACAGTCGGAACTCACTACTCATGGGAGGATGAGCACATATTTTTTGTAGCTAAAAGGTTTATCTTTTGGCGCTTTAGTCATTCAGATTATTTATTCCATATGTATACAGCATCAAACAATAGTTAACAGTGTGACTTAATTTGTTTATTGGATTTTTTTTAGACTTAGCGAAACGATTTAAATTATCATCCAACGACTTTTGTGCAACTAGATTTTTCTTAGAAATATAAAATAGCTGTACAGGACTATAAATTAATAAAATACTTTAAAGACCTCTTGAACAAAGCGGTGACCAACGTGTGTATCGGGCTGTGAGCCTCACACTTTAGTTAATGGTTAGCTATGTTACTTATGGGTTCAAACGCCGTTATTCAGAGTGACATTTGTATCTAAACCACAGTATCATCCTCTCATTGTACTAAAGCAGTAGTATTCAGATGTGTTTTCTTAAGATGATGGTATCCACTGATATTAAAAATTGTAAAAGCATATTTTTTAAATTTATTTTTAAGCAACACAAGAAAATTCCTGAGTTTTTTTGAGTGATTAAATTATAGTTCGAAGTATTCAGTTATAATGAGGTAGTCCTCTTATGTACATAACATTTGAAATATTAGATAACAACACATTTCTCACAAAATCTTTTTCTTCACACTTATCTTTTGAGTATTCGCCTTTCTGACTGATGTGATTGCAACTCTCAGCTCATGATATGTGAGCACATGCATACCCCTTGAAAATCAATGCTGAATAGCGTATTTTGTTGTTTGTGTGCAAAACAATAGGTTTGGCTTAGTGATTTAAATATATTCCCCATGTTTAATGTAGAGTAGGTCAGATGAAGAAAACGACCGATTCATGCTGTTCACCATATTTTCTGTGGTTATAGCAGATAAGTTTGATGGGTTCGATCCGCTGTGTGACATCATACATCTTTCAGTTTTAGCTGAAAAAGCAACAATTTTAACGCCACTTATGATATGTTTTTCATTCTCAACTTCTTTGTCAGCTGCCACGCATAGAGCATCACTTGAAGAAATATTGTTGTTGATATTTTTCGTTGATCGGTTTCTCGAATGGGTATGACATGTTTTATGTCGATGAACACGGTTAATTTGTTGGTTACGCCGTGTATGCGCCAAATGCCTGTTGATGCGCCTTCTAGAATTTCTACTGCTATGAGTAATGCCCGTGTCAGTTGTAGCAGGGGAATCGGAATCACCAACTTGTGTTATGCTACATGGAATCTTCAAATTTCCATTGTGATGACATTTCCAATGTTTAACGACATATTTATTACTTGATTCTGGTACACTACTGTCAGAATAAATGCTAAGCATAGTCAGTTTTTTCGCTTCATTGTTTGAAAAGTGGTTTACATTATTACTAACTGTCAGTCGATGTTCTTTGTGTTTTCTCCCACAATACCGTCGGTTACCAACATGCCTTTTGCCAGTTTTCCTTGTGAAGTAGGTATTCATATTAACGTTTGCTTCTTTTTCAGTAGGGTGCTTCGAAAGCAACCTGAAATAAAAGGAAGGAATCCAGTGGATTTTCTCATTTAGTAAATAAAATTCAAGGATCATATTTAAGATTCATTTAAATGATCACAAGGTTTAAGAAGTTATTGTCTGCTGCCGAGAAAGTGATGGTACATTTTGTGGTTATTCATCTTTTTATTTTAGAAATAGTCCCCTCATATTTATTTTAAGAATTACAGCTATCAGTCTATTGACATGTTTCTATTAAATAAAATGTGTCATCATTGTGTATATAATAAACGATAAAAGTCCCTCAGTTTAATGGTCTCTGTAAAAGGTAAAAGGATAGATTTGGTAAATCAGCACAATTCCGACATAAGTTAAACACGAGGATGTCCTATGGGTTATAACTAACTTTCACATTTCAGCATCATATTTGCCAGAATTCCTTCACTTATCTCTATAAAGTAGCGAACAAAATAATACGCTATTCATGATAAAAGAGTCGCCTAGACAACAAATTGTTATGTATGACTGACTACAAACTCAATTGAACTACTACTATGTGAATACTACCACTAAATTAAAAGGATATATATATATATATATATATATATATATATATATATATATATATATATATTATCCTCTAGGGCTGCGAGTAGAACATAGGGCTTAAATAACACATCTCCACTCTCTTCTATCCTCTGCTATCCTCTTCAGTTCTGTCCACAATTGCCCATAATCTCTCATCTCCTTCGTGTCACCCTCGAACTGTCCACTCGTCGCTTCACACTGGGATTCCACTCGAGCACTGGTCTGACTCAGGATGTCATTTGACGGCCTCCCCAACGTATTCCCGATTCATCCCCATCTTCTCTTACATATTCGTTGAGCAGTCGACTCTTGGATGGTTTGTTTTCAGCCACAGTTTTTTTGTTGTTGATTATTTCTGTCCAGCTGGCCATTCGATCTTCAGTATAGAGCCAGCGAAGAGGGAAGCTGTTGATAGGAGTCTGCAGCAGGCTGTTGGAAATGCTTTTCGCGACATACAGTGAAGGTTTCAGACCCGCAGAGAAGCACTGACTACTAACTGATTGGATGACTGATTTCACAATTGAGTTGAAAATCCGAATCTTGTTGTTTATGCTGAGGTGGAGTGCAGTGCAGATTTACAAACTGGTTTCAGGTTGATGAAGGCGTGCCTATCTCGCCTTTCCGGTTCTGGCCAGCTTTGACATCTTCATCCGTTCCTACTGCCTGTAGTTGTAAAGATGCTTCCAAGTTAAATGAAGACAGGAAGTCAACTCTGTTAAATCTCTCCCGTTGATGGTGACCTGTGCTGGTTGTTGTTGGTGGTGGTGGTGCTGTGGTTGGCTGGATATCTCCATCACCACTGTCTTCTTACTGTTCACCTGGAGTCATGTGCTCGCTGACTGCCACTTCCGCCAGTTTTTTGGTTTCCGCCTGCCTCTAGGTCTTCGAGTTCGCGTGAAATTAGATATGAACCAATATTTGAGCAATACACACCGTAGTGTTGAAGCAGTTTCCAAATTGCTTCTCGGTCAACCCCGTCTGATGAAGGCCTTTTCGAAGTCGATGAAGTTGAAGTAGGGGCATTTGACTGACATTCCATGCTTTGTTCTGTGATGATGATGACGATACGTAGAGTAGAAATTTGATCAGCACACGATTTCTCTTTCCTGAATCCAGCTTGTTCAGACGGGCTAGTATCCAGTGCATCTTTGATTCTCTCTCTCTTTCCAGGATGACGTGACTTAGTATTTTACTCGGCGTGGACAACAGCATTATTCCACGCCAGTTCATTCACAGGACTGAGTCGTCCTTCTTTGATGGTTTCACGTGGTAGCCTTTCTTCCAATCATTATAGATAAGATTTTTATTTTTGATAAATCGCACAGTGTTTACAGTTATATGAACTGATGACGTTTCGAGCACAATTTATTGCTCATAATCATATCAAGGTAATCACACGACTTCCTAAATTCATTTATATAGTTCCATTGTTTTTCTCTTGATTTTCACTTGATTTGATTGGTAATAGTATTTTCCATATTTCAGGTATGAGTGACGAGTCATTCCTATTGCATGTGTTGGGTGTAGACTCGATGAACAAGGATTCAGTCAGTACCTTCCCTTCCTTCAAAGCTTTTTTCAATTACGAGGTGATGACGTCTGCCACAGTCTCTGGTTTCGTTCTCATTACTTGTCAGGGTATTCCGTCTGGCCCTGCTGCTTTCCCGGACTTCGGTAGCTTGATCACATTCAGGATTTCTGCTTTCGGTGGAGTATTCTGTCTGTCTGGATTCAACATAGAACTTGGCACCGAAGTGCAGCAGTTCGAGTTGCCACGTTCCAAATAGCACACAGAGGTAGACAAGAAGATGAGTGAAGAGAATTAATAGAGTTTGACAAATATAAGAGTGAAACAGAATGGGTAATGGTAGAAAGGAATATGAAAGATTACAGAGATTGAATACATCTGCGCCATTGACAACGATTTTGAGCCATGTCACCTATTGTCTCCAGCCATTGATTCCTAGAGTCCCGAGGGCCCCAACCCGGGAGTCTGCATCTCCCTACCTGACTCAGTTTAACTGTCAAGGATTTCATGGATTGATGCCATGTTTTTGTTTGGCCACCACTGGCTCTTTTCCAACCTGAACCTATATCAGCTAACAATGCCCGTCGGGGGAGGCGGTGGTTAGGCATGCGCACCACGTGACCTAGCCATCTTAGTCTATGTAACTTTATAACCTCGTCGATTGATTTTCCCTCTTTGCCCAACACTCTACGCCTAACGTCAACATTACTTATCTTGTGAAACCACCTAACGTGAGACAGAGATCGCAGACATCTATGATCGAAAGCAGTCAACCTTTTCATGTCTTCAACGCGTATTGGCCATGTTTCAGAGCCATAGAGAAGGACGGAGCGAACTGATGAGCAGTACACACGTCCCTTGGTTGATAACCGGATGTCACGCCTACGCCAGAGATGGTGTAAGTCAGCGAAAGCAGCTCGAGCTTTTCGGATCCGTGCTGAGATTTCATCGCCAATCAGTCCGTTGGTGCTAATACAACTTCCCAAGTAGGTGAAGTGGTCAACATGTTCTATCACTTCACTCCCTATCACTAAGTTAGGGGTTGACGTCGTCCAGTCCTGTAGCAGCATCTTACATTTTGCAGGGGCGAATCGCATGCCAAACATACGAAGATTGCTGCTCAAGGTGTTCAGAAGACTCTGCATTTTGTCAGCATCCTCCCCTAACAGGACTATGTCATCTGCATATTCTAAGTCCATTAGATTATTCCCTGGTAACAAGTCGATTCCTAAGTCACTACGTTCAGTTAAGGATACTTCCATTAGCATATCTATGATGAAGTTAAACAGAAATGGGGAAAGTGGACATCCCTGTCGGACACCACTGGTTGTTACTAATTCAGATGACAATTCCCCATAAGCCCTTACACGACTACGTGAGTTTGAATAGAGTGCCTTGATTAGTGCAATGTACTTTCTTGGCACTCCCTTCACAGTCAGACATTGCCATAGTACTTTTCGGTCCACGGAGTCGAAGGCCGCCTTCAAGTCAAGAAATATGACAATTGTTGGACGCCGAAAAGTGTGTCTATGTTCTAGAATCTGTCGAAGAGTGAAGATATGATCTATGCACCCTCTACCTGGTCTAAAGCCTGCTTGATTTTCCCTTGTCTGTTCCTCCCGAGTTCTGCTTAGTCTATGCATGATTACTGAGCCTAGGATTTTAGAGACTATGTTCGTTAGGCTGATCCCCCTATGATTATCACACGAGGACTTGTTTCCCTTCTTGAATATCGGTATAATAAGTGACTTACCCCAGTCTGATGGTACTGTCTCTGATTCCCAGACTTTGCCTAGTACCTCAGTTAATCTACAAACTAGTATGTCACCCCCATATTTAAACACCTCCGGAATAATTCCGTCGGGTCCTGCCGCTTTGCCTCGTTTCAAATTACTGATAGCTTTTGTAACCTCACTTACAGACGGCGGACCAGTGTCTATATCCCATTCGGGTACGTGGTGGATGGCGGGGAGGTTCAGTGTGGCTGTAGGCAAGTTAAATTGTTCCTCAAAGTGTTCTTTCCAGCGTTCAAGGCGTCTATCCTGAGAGCTAATTAAGGAGCCATTTTTCTCAGAAATAGTCTCACTTATGAATTGCCTTCTCCCGCCCGATTCTGTGATGAGTCTAAAGAGTTGCCTAGTGTTGCCTATCGCCAATGCTTTTTCCATCTCTTTCGCCTTTGTCACCCACCACTGTTCACGGTCCTTGCGGAGACTTTTAGTAAGTTTCCTTTTGTGCAGCTTTCGCTCCTCATTGAATTCGGAGCTCGCCGGAATAAGTCTTCTAGCATCTATCAGTTCGGATGAGGCAGTCGAAATCCAGTGGTTTTTACTCACCTTTGGATTTGTCTTATTCACAGCTTTTACAGCTGTATCTATAGCTGACTGAATATTCTTCCAGGCTTCTCCAGGGTGAGCACAGCTGTCGATTCAGATATGCGTTTAGCTAGTTCTTCCTCAAATAGGGATTTAGTTTCCTGATCGAGCTGGGGACGTGATGGTTTTACCGCCAGCTGTTTCCTACGTCCGTTCAGTCGTAAGCACACACGAGCCCGGACCAGTGCGTGATCGGTATCTACACACGTGTTCCAGAAGGAGCGACAATCTCCTACCGACCCACGCCAACGATAGCTTATTGCTATGTGGTCTATTTGTGTCCAGCGTTGGTTTGATGATGGGGGTCGCCAGGTTAAACAGTGTCTCTCCTTGTGTTTAAAGTTAGTGCTTACAAGAAACAAATGATTATCTGAACAGAACTGTAGGAGACGGTCACCGTTGTCGGTTCGCTGGCACGGAACTCCATAGGTGCCACCGACATCCTTCTCAGATTGACACAATTTCCCTACTTGAGCGTTAAAGTCACCAGCTAGAACGACTATATCTGAGCGTTTAGCCTTTCTCACCAAACTAGACAGCTTT